CTTGCCTCCGATTTTTTTTTTTTTTTTTTTGTTGACTTTTCCTCATTCCTCTCCCAGGCATGAAGGTTGTTGCGAGGGCAAGTATCAAAAAGTGGCCAGCCCGTCAGGTGGACTTGCGCAACGCCAGGGGGGTGGGAAAGCGCACCATACTCTTGCAGGTACCCGGCGGAAAAGAAGCAATATGGGAGGAAAAGGAGATCTGGGCTGGTCGGGGCAGAGCTAGGCCGTGATTGCGATGGACAAACCGAACCTGACGTGGAAGGGAATAAAGCACAATTGAAGAAGGGAAGGGGAAGAGGGGAAAAAAAAAAAAAGGATACACTGCGCACCCCATCTCAGGCCGGTTGTGCCTCATCTCCCCTTGCCCTGGCGACCCTCTGGCTTGCTGGATACCCCCGCCGGGCATATCTTTTGCTCAAGGCACGAGACATGGATGATGGTGTCGAAGAAGAGGAAAAAGAACGAGAGCTGATAGAGCGATAGAAGATGCTTCCTCAGTGAGGTAGAAGAGAGGAGCCGATGCAGTGGTGGTGGACCGGGGAAAGAAAAGGTTCAGTACGTATGGGCTCCGTAGAGTAAGGTAGTGTCCGTAGGTACTGGGAGCGGGGTTTCAAGGGCTCCAATTGTCTCTCGAATGAGCTCCTTGGTGGGTAGCAAGTTGTGGCGAGCCGCGAGGGATGAGAACAACAAACGCAGCAACCCGATGCAATGGAGGGACACGCACATTACATTAGCACTTGCCGTCCAGAGAGCGTAAACTAGACAGCGCGTAGCTGGCATATGGAAATAACCAGCGGCTCTACAAGGGAGCTACTGATATGAGCTATGTGCCCATTGTAGGTGTTACGTACGTAACCATGCATTGCTTGTGCTAAGAACGGTAAACTAGCAATTTGGTCGCCCACGATACACACTGTGGGGAGGGGCGTTGAAAGAAAAATGCGAAATAAACATCAGGTCGGGTTTTAGCGCGACAGACCAGCCAGCTCCTCGTGGCACGCAGGGCGCGATTTTGGGTCTGCTGAAGTTGCGATGGTGACGGGCCTTTGACGGACTCGAAGACACTTAGTGTGCAATGTGTCGTCGAACGTATCCTTATTGGCAATGATACCGTGATCGTACGCTTTCATGCAGATTTTGAGCTACCATGGTGGATAAGAGATGGCAAGCCGCACGGCACGGGCACCAGATTGCAGCAGCAGGGTACGCGTGGTGAGGTCGACATTGGACGAACATGGACCACCAAAGCTACCTCGCTCGGTGTCTGGAAAGCACCTCAGCGATCCAATGCGGTGGGGAATGGGTGTGCGATCAGAGACATGATCGATCCCACCTCGGTACGGAATGGGAAAAACACGTTTTGTGGCGAGCGCCTCCGCTGCTTGTTGAAACATCAGCAGACGAGGAAGACGCAGAGGACGAGAGCGGGCATCAAAATGCGACGGGGCTGGGTGTACGATCAATTGGAAGCTCTTGTGGCCATATATCGTGAAGCACGGCATAATCGAATCCTCGGGACGATGACGGGTGGGTGGGTGATCGGGAACACTAGGCCACGGCACAGAGCCTTGCTTGGTGTTGTCGCCCGTATCCGCGCCTTGAACCGGGCCGTCAAGTTGAGTTGTGTGCTCCGGGGACGATGGTAGGTGATGTCCGATTCGATTCGTGTACTCGTGTTGCCCCGATGAACGACCCGCGGCCCTAAACCGAATGATAGGACCACTATTTGAGAGCCTGGTCACCCGACGCTTAGGTTTTCCTTTGCTCTGCGAGATTGATGAAGCGCCTCAACAAATCAATCGGCGCTGCTGCTAACCGTTTCCTTCGTCCCACCTCGTTCGATCCCGAGGAATTGAAAGAACCGACGGCCATCTTGAGAGCAGACGGCGCATCGCAGGAGAGGTGCTAATGTGCACGCCGGTAGGGTCTGAGTCGAGAATGAGAAGGGGGGAAAAAACTGGCAACATAGGCAGTTTCGAAGAGGACTTTGAGAGAGAGAGAGAGGGAGTTGGTGTGCTCATAAGCCATGCGAGACAGTCGCTGGACTCTGGCTGGCTGATTGGCGCATCGGGCTATACCCATAGTGAGAGCGAAATGGAGGTTGTGTGTCTAAGCTATCCATGTTTCAACGTGGAGTCGATGGCATGGGTAACGTAGCTGGTGTCCAGCAGCAAAAGCAATGAAGAAGATTCTCGGAATTAGCATCCACTATGCTCTCTCAAGTGGTGTTGGTAACGTGTACAAAGCCGGGCAGAGATGGAAGACAGGTGCCCTGAGGTCAGGTAGGTTTAGGTACGTACCCATGACTGAAGTGTGGATGCGACGATGCGTCTGTAGGTAGGCACGAGGCGAGGCGTTTGTCCCACAGATGCACGCAACTGGAGACATGCAGACAACGAGCATGTAATGCGAAAAGAAAAAAAAGGAAATATTCTCAAACAAACAAAACCGAGAGGCAGCGGGCGGTGGAGGGTTCCCAGGTGAAAGACCTGCTCGGAGAATATGATGTACGGAGTGAGTGGGAGGAAATGGCACCAGAGATGTCCATATCTATATGGTACCTTACTACTGCTACTTACTCAGGGATCTAGAAGCTTTCGCGATGGCGAATTGTTGATAAGGTAAAGCAAAGTACTCGGTAAGGAAGGAAGGAACAGGCCCAGCACGAAGAGGGGGAGAGATGGTCGTCTGCAATATTGGGACTTTGCTAGACGCACTTGCATCTACACCCATGTAAAATAAGGTAAGCAGCTAGCCGGGTGGTAGGCGAACGGGACAGGAGAGCCGCGACCCCTGACGCCGATGGCTGGGACCACTCGCAGTCCGTCCCGGTCGCACCTCCCGTTTCTTTCGATGAGCGAGGGACCCCTGCGCCTTTCCCCCGGTCACTTCCACGTCGGGAACATCGATGTGGAATTTGTGGGTCTTATGGTACGTGCACGGCGCCCCATCCATTTTAGTTGGAAGGAACCTCCAAGGAAAGCAAGGTTGACGGCGGCGCGGCGGGGAGTAGGAGGGGAGGACCTTGCCTTAGGTAAGGCATTCCCAACTTCCCGTTGGTTCTCCACACTTTCCCGGTTGAACGTCACCTCACCTCCTGCCCGGCTGGCCCTGCCCGCCTTCACCATCGTGACTCCTCCGAACCTGCCGGCAAAGACACCATGACCCGGCCGGGAAAGATGCGAGCAACCACGTCATGCGACCTCAAGTGCTGCAAGCTCAGGGTCAATTTTGCGCAACTCGCCGAGTATCTTCCCTTTACCGCTCAATACCATGTTTGTTTCTTTCATCCTTGATAACGCTGGCCGCAGTGCGGAAACGAAAATGCAGCGAACCTCGGGACGAATCTATTCTTTGTTTTCGTTCTTCGTACCGTAATTTCAATTCGGCATGTCTTCTACTTAGAAAGGGGAGGTGAGAGGGGCATTTTTCAAGGGTTTTCTTCCTTCTTCCTCACGCCCCCTCCCCCATCTCCCTCCGTCAATTAAGGCTTGTTCGAGGCCTGCCTTACCGACAACCATCTCAGACCTGGACACCCTCAGAGACTGAAATACTCCCTCAATCCAACAGGGAAAAATATCAAGTCCAGACCGGATTTCATCCGAGTTGCTTGCCCGACATGTCTTAGTCGACGACACCACACCACATTCCCCATCTCCCATTTCCCATCCCCCCAGTCGCTATGCTCCATCCCGCTGATCCATCATTCAACCTCCCGTACTCCCCCAGATTGCCACCCGACTTTGAAACATTCCGATGTCCCGTCGACCGCAACAGCATGTCAGTCGGGTCTGGCGCGCGCGTATACGCACAAATCTTTGCTGAGTATGATGTGTATCCTTTTCATCTTGTCTTGGATTATTTAACTTTTTTTTTTTTTTTTTTTTTTTTTTGACAGCACTGGACCGGCCCGCGAACCAGAGATGCATATGAAATCTGATGAAAGCGGAGCCTGCATTGGGCCGGTGAAGGATTTCTACGAATAGAACTGCGCCAACTCCACACCATTCGACCGGACACACGTCTGCAAGGACACCTGCAGGACCCTGTCCAACGGTGCACATGGCGGGTCGGCACAGCTCGAGCCATTCTCAACCAGGACGATGTGTTCGAGCTTTTCATACCAGAACGCAGTGAAAGATCATGTGCGCGCATCCCCTAGTTGAAGCATTGGCGAGGGGTGGGGGTCGACATGGAACCTCGCAGTAATCCAGAACTCGATAAGCTCTGGGTCTTTCATTCCTCGACTTCAAGCATCTTTTGTCTCTGGTGCACATCGTGAGCTCTTTGGAGGTTCCGACCTATATGCCGCGGTGTAACATAGCACCAAATACACCGACATCCGGCATTCGCCACAGTCAATCATGGGACATGCACAATCTCGGCATGGTAATGCGCTGAATGGAACCATCAGACGAACACAAACACACACAAAGTTACTATGGACAACAGCAGAAACAACAAGCCTCGGCTCCTGATCATGTTTTGCCACCCATCGTCATCGTCGTCAACTTCGTTGAGGCATACCCCTCTCACTTTTCTTCCCCTGCCCACACGCAAACCTGCCATGATATCTCCCTTTGAGAGAAACAGTAGAGCAAGTGAGATGAAAGGAAAGAAAAACGATGGGAAAGGGCCACCAGTATGCATTCTCCGTCCATTGCCGTCGCCATCGCTCCGTAGAATAACAGACAGACCGAGGTGGACCTCTTTGATTCAAGAGTCCCGGTCGAACAAGAATAAGTATCAAACGGCCTGCTCGCGAATGATAGAAAAAAACAAATTTGAAGAAAATGAAAGCATGAGATGAACACCGCCTTCAATGCCAAACCTTTAAAAGCCAATGACTTGTCTTTTGGGCCCTCCCGCATTGCGCCTCTGCACGTCGCTTTAGTGTGTGCACCCCTCCCCAGTCCCGGTAAAAACAAGATCCAAATGGAAAGTATCGCCCTCCCCCTCACCTCCTGGCGTTCATCCCTCTCTCCACCTGCCCACCTCGATTAATATGCCCACGTTTGGGGCTGCCAGTCTCGCTGGAAGAGCTGGCTGACGAAGAAGTATGGCTGCTCGTACTGGTTGGCTCGTTGAACCTCTTCCCATTCACGTTCTAGTTCAATCGCGTCAGTCATCACTCCCAGCTTGTTGGTTGGCCTGTCACACTGCCGATCCAAGGGATGCGTATCTCTCTAGCACAAAATAGTCACACACACACCAAATTACTCCCGTCTCGGTCACAAGGGGGGTGGGGGCTTGGTTTAGGAAACAAGGGCTGCCACTGACTGTTTTGCAATGCCATTGCGCGCGTGTAGTGGATAAACTGCACCGCATCGTCGTCCAGCTGGGCCAGCGTCCGCAAGTCCTGGTCTCTGCAATCCTCGGAAAATGGGTAGATTCCCTTGTTGCAGTAGTGGAAGTACGCGAGGAGAATCGTTCCTCCTGTTCGTCAGGGTTTCGTCAGCATGTCTTACTCAACAAAACGCCAAACAAATTGGGCCACCGCTTAACATAAAGCAGGCGCCCCAGCCAACTATTGCGCACTTACCCATATGGTATTCTTGGACATCCGTCTGTCTGGCGAATTTTGTCTGCCAGGGCAAACATCATTTGTTAGTAAACTCATTCTCAAGCAATTCGTGGCTACTCCCACATCGAGCCAGAAGAAAAAAGAAAAAAAAAGTGCGCTGATTTCCCATCACGACTCACCTTCATACCGTGCTTCCTGGCATATGAAGCATCGTGATCCGTCACAAGCGCGATGTTGTGCAGTAACATAAACGTCACCAGGTAGGTGGTCAACCAAGTCTTCTGCTTATTCTGCAGCGTCATCTTTTGGAGCTTTTCCAGCATTTCTCGTCGAAGTCTCGTCTGTATATGCTGGATGAGGACCAAGTCCAACTGAGCTCCCATCACCGGCGGAAGGGGGATGCGTCCGTGCTGCGGGCTGCTGCTATCCAGAATATCGCGTGTCATTCCGAGCGTGTCGTCCCCAACAATCTCTATTGACTTCGTCGTCAAGCGAACCGCCATCCATAATTCTAGCGTTTGAAGCAGAAGATCCTTCTCATCTTGGGCCGTCGAAGGATCTTGCGAGAGTTTCCAAGCTTTGAGGTAGGTCTCGAAGAGTAGTCGGTCCCTGACACCCATCACACTCTCCACGACCGAGTTAAAGCATTCAACGACGCCTCTCTTAATATAATCCTCGTACGCCGTCTGCGCGTCGTCCAGGTTCGTGATGGCGTACGTGGGGATCGCCACAGACTTCTTTTCACCTTCCTCGGTAACCCAAGTCCGTTCCAGCTTGTCGCCCGGTTGTGGAACGAATTCTCTTACAGAAAGCTGGACCCACATACTGCTAGGCGTGTAACCCTCCCACAAGCGTACAATTCTCACTTCATTCGACGCCCAGTTGTTGATGTTGTCTACAATGCCGTTGTTGAAACGTTGGGTCCACTCGAAACCAGGTGCTTGGCCCTTTTTGAAGAAATGACATTCCGTGATTTTGTGGCGTACACAGGGCTGGCGGATAAGTTGCTTGTGATGATTGTTGTTCGATCTTGGCTTGCAGCCTAGACACGGGCCCTTCGGGTCATCTGGGTCGGTTTTGCACTGATATCGTTTGTAAGCAGTCGAAACTAGCACTCTGAACCTCTCTGTGTTGCTTACTCTCACTCGCTGCATCTTGCATCGAATGCAGGATCCGTTCTTCCTTGTTGCTGCTGTCTCCTCCCGGGCCTTCTGGTCCTTGAAAGGGCCACGCTTTGCAGCTGGTGGGCGCTGATTGGGAAAAACAACATCAAGGCTGGCGTTGGCGTGAGTGTTGGCGACAGAGCCGTCCATGTCCTCAGTCTTGACACAGGACATGGGGTATGTGGAGTCCATAGCAAATCTGCCAGTCGTAACAGGCACAGATGTGGGAGTATGCAACGCTGGAGATATGACCATATCCATCATGTTGCCGCCGCATGTAGGCGGCAGAGTCCCCCTCGGAGTCAGACGACGGTCAAGGCTGTTTGCGTTAGAGTAATTGGGTTCGCCACCAACATGACCACTTGGTGTTGTGGAATAGAAGGACGGTGCCGATACCTCCGTCACGTAGACACCAGTGTCAGGTCCGGAGTGTTGGGACACCAATGTCTGGTTGGGGTCCTCTTGTACAGGTTGGTAGCTGGACACATAGGAGCCCAGCAGATTATTGTCTCCGGCCGGAAATGGATTCTGGTTGTTAGAGACAACTGGAGCAGGAACAAAGACGTCTGGTTGAGAAACTTGCGCTGAGGGTGGTTTCTCAACCTCATAGGGTCTGCTACTGTTCGTCCCATAATCATAAGTGGCAATCTCTGACCCAGGAAGGGGCTGATAACCTGGTTATTGGATCAGCAAGAGATAAATAACTGTTTGATACACTGCAATAAATACCATCATTGGTAACAGCACAGGTGCTCCAACAGTTCTGACAGAACGCCAAAGCCAGCGTCTGCATCCCCTGAGTCAGACCATTGACGACAGGACCTGGAAACCCTGAGGAACGATCTAGTTCGACGTTGGCAAGGCCATGCTGCCCAATGTGTGGAGCTTTCTCTTCATAGTCCTCAGGAAGAGAGCCTCCTGCGTACTGTGAAGACATGGAGTAGCCTGATACAAGCCGTTGTCTCTTGTGGGCGTTTTCTATTTGCGAGGTATTGGAAAGGATTTGGTGAAGTCGGAAACCGGGAATGTTGTATAGGTCCGCGACTTGGTTGATTAGGATTTGGGTCTCGGGGTGAAGGGTAGAGAAGTGTATATTGGCATATGGAGAAGGCGAAGAGCTGTGATGTCCCGGCACTATAGAAGAGTCGTCTTCGGGGCCGGGAACCCGGCGCTTTCTGAGATGATTGTGATTCTAAGATGAAATCAATCCACCGCACGTTCAAGGTGCAATAGGGCAAAGGGAGGGATGGGGTTGAAGAGCAAACGGGAACAGCCAGGGCTAACAAAGATATAAGGGAACGATGTGTGTGCAATGATGCGGGTGCTGGGACAGCGGCTGGGCTCAAATGACATTGGGGAAGATCGGTGATATATCCCATGCACGCTGCCGCCAGCCGGGAAGCAGGGACATCTCTTACCATGATTGATGCAACGAGAGAGGGTGTGTTGGACAGAGCCTAGTAGCGAGACCAAGTACCACAATCTGTGGCCTGTATAAGGTATACGGCAGAGACAAGCAGCAAGCAGTAGGAGTGAGCAGGCACAGCGAAGCACAAGGGGAGCGTAGAAAATTGCGCCTCACCGGGAGGGGGTGGGGGAGGGAGCTACGGTCTCACGAGAGCCATTGCCACATAATGGCACCCCTTGTGCGCGAGTGGAGTACAGGAAAGAGGGTATGGTAGGGGAAAGGAAAGGAGGGTTGATGACTCGGCCAGGAACAAAAGGCGGAGGAAGAGCTACTCGGCGTAGAATACAGAGGAGTGGAAATGGAGGCAGGGAGTCAGGCTAGAATGCCGTTGTGAAGAGAGACAGACAGGCCTGCTTGACAGCATACACTCGGCCGAAACTGGGGGGGGATGAACCAAAGGAAAAGACGGCAAGTCCTGCTGCTGCGTGCGTGTGCGTGCTTGTGCTTGGAGGTATGCGTATGCCGCTCTGCTCTTTTTTTTTTTTCTCTTTCCCTCACTCTCTTTTTTCTCTGAGGGGGTACTCCCGCTGCCGCTGTCTCTCTCAGTCGGTTTCTGCAGCCGTTGCTTCTCGTCCTTGACGGATGTCGCAGATGCTGCTGGCCGTGGCCTGAGCCTAGTCGCCTGGATGTTTCGCCCGTCCGGCGCGAATATGAGACGCTGTCGTTCTCGTTGTTTGCTTTGTGCGATGTCTCCTTCGGTGGAGCACAGCGTTGCGCGCGCTGGCAGGCTAGAATCAGAGAGCGTGCCGATAGAGACTCTGGTACTGGCGATTGGCGTATCCTGTGCTGGTCGGTCGGTCGGTCAGTTCGAAGGAGTCGAGGCTGAAGTGAGAAGACTCGGTGAGAGGAAAGTTGAGGAAGTGGGCTGCACCCGTGCTGAATTGTATTTCACCGGTCTGAGGGGTACTCATGAGAGGACAGGGGTTCTTGAGACCACGCCACGCGAGAAGAGGAGCCGAGCATCTTCCCGCCCCTGCCGAGTGGATGGATTTCAGGCTGCCCGTCTGATGGGAATAAGGCGACAGGGGTGGTGGAGAGAACACCATGGAACCAACTGTTGCGAGCACTGCTGATCCTGCTTCTGGCCTTCACTTCCGCCTCTTTTTGTGTAACCAACGGGTGCCGTTTGCTTCGTCTGCATGGAAGGGCCAAGCGCTAGGCCAATCAAGTGTCGGGAAACTTCTGATGCTGGATCTGCTGATGCTTCTGACTGTTGCTCACGGCGAAGGTTGTTACGATTGCTAGCCAACGATTGCAAAGGCCGCTACCACTTCACATACTGGTGATCGGTTGGTCTCGGGAGGCGGATGGATGCCCAAGGCTGTCCTGTCTCCTGTCTGGCCAAGATATGTGGATTCGAATGCGTGTGCTTACGTGAAGTGTCATGAAAGATCCCATGCGGGCGACGACGTGATCTAAGACTGGGAGTCATCATATTTCCATCGCCCGGCTAGCAACGTGCGCCATGTTACCAAAAGGCCGAGGCAACCAACCACCACGCCTGCGGCCGCAACCCCCCAGATTTGGCTCTCTAATCGCCTCTTTTGCCAATATGACCTCTGTGCTTCTCGACGTTCCATCGAAAAGCGCCATGGTCCCGAGAGTCTGACACCCTTTGCCTGCTTACCCTCGTTTAGTTAGATCGCTCAAGCAGCCTGCAAGTCTAGGGATGCGTGTGTATGCCTGGGGTGGCTAAGAACAGCCTCGTCGTTATTTTCCTCTGACAATGCGTATCAACCCCGATTGAGAGATTGTCACCGCTTTTCCGGGAGTGAGACTGCTTCCAAAAAGCTGATGAACATGTGCTAGGCACACTCGACTTGCTGTGCCGCCTCTGAATATGGACGGGACGAAAGATGACGGAGAATTCAACCCACGAAAGGGACAAGTAAAGTATTCCGTGTAAAGAGCTTCATTTTTCGTTCTGGGTCGTCAACAGCCCAGTTGTTTCATCTAACAATGTTATTGGTCCGTTTAAAAACCTGTCAGTCGATCGATCAGTCGATTCAGCCTGTAGCTTGCACATGATTGAGTGAAATTAACATCTTCAGCTCTTGATGATGATGTAGCTGCTCTGCCCCAGTAACCGGGTGTACGTCCACCGCCACCAACACCACCACCACGGTCTGGCCTGACTAGGTCTGGCCGTACTGTTGGGCCGTCTCTCGGAGCGCCGGTAAAGGAACCTGCCGGCTGTCAGAAAGTGAAGCATGCAGCAAAATACGCACTTTGGACAGCCCCATGTTTGCTCAAAAGGGCCTTGACCGCCTTTAACCACCCCGCCTGCCCTGGTCCTGGCATGTTGCCCAAGGCGGATTGTTGTTGAAAAGGGGAAATTCCCATAAAATCCGCTCACGAGCAGCCAATGTCGAAGACTCATTACCATTACGAAACTGCAAGCATACCCGCAGTCGCAGAAAGTCGACGGCCGCACGGCGTCTTGGCCGCGGAAAGACGATCCCCCCCCCGCAGCCGGAGGTCAAAAGGGTGCATTGCGTGCGGGCCCTGCGAATTGGTGTCCCGGCTGAGAGCAAACTTTTGACGTTCATCTCGAGAAAATCTGTCGGTCAACGAATTCGGCCATTTTGCAGGTAAAACCACCTGTCGAAAGCAAAGCTCTGCATGCGCGGGCGTCACCAATGATGGCAGCCTCTGTCGATGCAGCTGATGAGGTCAGGGAACCATCCGCTAACGGTCTCGTATCAAATCAGCGTCCGACGTTCCTCTGCAGGCCGCCGTACCAGTCGAGTGAGGCGAAGTGAAGTAAGAGCGTTGCGAGATGGCCACACAGAGCGGATGCGTGTAGGTTGGATCCCTGAACCAGGCCTCGGTGATTGTGAGATGCACAAAATCGGCCTGCCAACAGCGAATACGGTTGCAATTTGCTGCTTCAGAGCAGGCATGAACGACGAGGAATACCGAGTTCTGGTGGGACGCAGGAGACCGTGGAGGGTTTAAGCTCAAATGGGCAACCGGTGAGTCGGGAGCCTCGCTTGTGGATGGTTGCTCGACAGACCAGACTCGACCCGTGGAAGTGTGTGGATTCACCCCGGCAAGGCCAGGCGATAGCCAAGTGAAATTATGTGCCGTGGCGTGCCCCCAAACCCACGAACCCCAGCGCTATTCCGTACCACCCACATCCGTCAAAGGTTGCCAGTCATTGGTTTGTCTAGCTCTGCCTCGTGCTATGCTTCAATGCTCAACATTGTATGCATAGTTTGGTCGGGTACCACAGTGTCGAGTCCCCAGGCTGCAGCTAGAGGCGGTGGTGATTCGTGAACAGGGTGTGCTGGCCGCTTACAGACCATGCTGCACATAGTCCGGCGACGATTTGCGGATTGACGAATGATTACTGCTAGACTAGAGAAATTTTTGCTGGAATCTTTTTTGCCGAGATTTTATTAGATTGCATCGCAGGCTAAATAGAGCACTACAATGGCCACAAAGTTCCAATGGATTGCAGAACTAATCGGGACGACGCTAATCAATGCGTAAGACTGAAGACGAGCATAAAGATCCATTTCTCTGCCGATTCTTGAGATCTGCTAAGCACTGAACAAGACAGGTTATGCGCTAGCATGCGATCGTGTCCGAACGGGAGGGGAGAGTTTTCGGGTAGGCGGATATGGGGCCTACAAAATGTATTAGTGAATTCCGCGCGGACTTCTTTTTTTGGTTGAGCATGTTCAAACCTACCTTTGCTATC